TGTGCGTCTATCAGATCCCCCAGACAACCTGCACAGTCATCAGGTTTTCTCTTATGAAAAAGACTGTGAAACACAACTTCAAAAATGCATTTAAGCATTATGTTTCCTTTTAGGACAAAGGAAAAAAAAAAAAAAGGCACAAACTTTCATTTACAAGGACATTCACCCTTGGTGATGATGTTTGTTACCAATCATGCTAAACTAGGTCAAAATGTCAACAATTTCAGTACCCAAGCAGTTCCTACAAAACCCATAACCTCACTCAAGTCCACAGGAGGTTCAAAGGGTCGATGAGTTCTCTTAGAAAAGGAAACATATGACAGGGCTGCTTGCAAGACTGGACACTGCAACAGCTGGGTACTATGAATACTTTCTCCACAGCTATCGCGAGGGAAAAAAACTATATATTCTACACAGAAGGCACAGTTTCAGTTCTCCACACAACAGGCCTGGATACTGACCTGAAAGGAAGGAGCCCTACAGCAGCCCTTGAACGCTGTCTCTGTGGGGGCTCATTTGCTAAACTGGCAGTAATTGACACTTCACATTCTGACTCCAAGTAAAATGAGATTCCAACTCCAATTAAACTGATTTAAATCTAGTATTCACCTGGTTTGCCAACAGCTCTCTTTTCAAAGGTAAATCCAGGCTGGTTCAAAACATTCTTCCCTAATATTATTGGTGCTATGATTTCTAGGACAGAACTGAGTATATCTGATACATTCCAGAGCAAAACGTAACGATTTTCCATCCTAAGAAGTCACCTACAGCTTATTCCTGACAAGAGAAAACTAGAAACCTTGTATGTGATTAGACTACAAATGAAGTGGTGATAAACTTTCAAATGGTGCTGAACCAGCACACTAGGTGGCCCACCATTTTATACACGTTATTTATGAAGATCGTTCTCAATGGTTACAAATATCTTCACACCTTAAAAGGATGTATGCAATAAATTTAATCCTAATGCTTTAAAGCTTCCGGGACACTATATATTAAAAATATAATCATGCAAATGTCCACAAACTTTACAAAGAAGCACGTAGGCACTTCTACTCATGCAAAACCTCTGATCTAAAAGAGAAACATCCACTATAATTAAAGACTTCACAGAAAATGAAATTGCACTAATTTTAAGGCGCATCAAGTGTTGTGGCAACGCTTTGGCCAGTGTTCTTTTAAGTAACTGTATATAAATCTGCATACTCAAACTCACTCACTAAACTCCAAAAACAGCTGTGGTCTGATCTATCTCTGACTTGCCAAAGCGCTTACTCCAATGTCCTTGTGTTAAACTGAGCTGGAAATCTCTTAGCAGAATAACACCAGAACCCTCCTCTCTGTGAAAAAAAAATGAAATATCTTTTAATTTCAGAATGTTAAATGTGGGTGTAAGATAAAGCAGTAATATAACTATCTCCGTCCACAGACGACAAGAAACTGAATGTCAAAGTGCATTGCAATGTATAGCAAAATATTCTTTAATCTCCCAGTGGCAAGGGAAAACAAGAGGAAAAGGAAGCGTAGGAAAGAAAAGAAAGGAAAAAAATGGAGAGAAGACTCATTAATTGAGATCTAGCTTACCATATAGAAGAACCCACATTATATGTTTTTTGCTAATCCTTGAGGACTACTCATCTGAAAATGCAACTCTCAGAAATCAGTTCTAACTTTCTCTTTAAAAAGGCCTGGTACGAATGCCTTATGACTTTCAACCCTTAAAAACCTTGAGACGCAATCTAGTTATGTAGTATAACGCCACTATATTTATCGCCGTCATTGTCGAAAGAAAAAAAACACATCAACTCAAACCTACAAAGCCTTTTGCAAACTAAACCTCCTTTAAATGACAGATCCGAGATTATCGAGCACTAGGCCGTTACAGAACCACACAAACAATTTCTGTAGCACTATGCAAGCTTAGCAAGTGTGGTCCAGCACCATGGTTCACCGAAATCACCCTCCGAGTACCCAAGTCCCCCGCACGGCAGCGTTTCCAATCCCATTTACTATCACGGTAAGCCTGGGAGCGCAGCTGAGAAAGATCTTCCCCCCACTGCCATCTTTCCAGTAAGTCCAGAAGGAGCAATGACAACCAGAAGGGCAGACAGAAGGACAACCAGCCCTGCCAGAGCCACCGAGACCTTCCTGGCTGCGGGAGGTGCCACGCGTCTCGCGGGGCAAACAAGGGGGCTGGCAGAAAATAATTAAGAGGGCAGGGTGGACGCAGGCCTTAAAACTGCAAGCAAGGTTAAGAAACAGTTACACATGAACTGTGGAAAAGCTAAATTTAAAAAACAGTAATTTAAAAAAAACACAAAACTCTCAAAACCCACCACCCGGCCTTGGGGACAGATAAGTCGCCAACTATCCCCACCCTCACAGGAGAAGCTATGGGGGGAAGATCTCCACAAACGGGATTTTATCTCCCCCAATACTGCCACTCCAACACACAACCCCCAACCTCGCGGCCTACCCCCCGTCCCCCAACGCAAGCGTTCGGCTTCCCCCACCGCCCCCCGCCGTGCCGACCCCCCAACCCCCCCTTACCCGCCGCGGTCTCGGTCGCGGCCCCGGTCCCCGAAGCCTCTCATCGCCCCCGGAGGGGTGGGTGAGAGGCAGCGGAACGCCGGCCGTGGGGACGGCGAGGGGCTGGGGGTACGGGGAGAGGGTCCAGCCAGGGGCGGCTGCGCCTCGGAGGCCTCGCTTTGCGCCACCTCGCCTCTTTGGTGGGACACAAAAGGAGAAGAGGTGGTCTGTGGGTCCGAGACCCGCTGGGCGTCAGCGGCCGGAACGGCGGGGCTCTCGGTCGGCTCCAGGGCCCGGGCAGTGTGGAAACACCAGCGTCTTCTTCCTCCGCGCTCCCGGCACAAAATGGCCGCCGCCTCCCCGGCCCGCTCCGCTTACGTTACGGACAACCCGGCGCTGCGCAAACTGCGGCCCTCTGAAACACCTACGCCTATTCACGGAACTCAACTACTCACTAAGCGCTCTCAGCAAAGCACCGCCCCGTGCAATAGCAGGCGGGCTACGAAAGGTGCGTAACGTTCTTTACTTAGAGCCGGGAGCCCGCGTAAAGAAGGCGGAGGGGGAGGAGTAACGCTATTCCCCAAAGTCAGCTACGCAAGGAGCGCGCTCCGTAACCCCTTTTGCAGGACAGGGAACACCTGAGCCGAGGCGCACGTTACGTAAGTGCACGGCGTACGCAAGGTGCGTAACTCAGGCTGGCCTAGGGCGGGAAGAGCCCGGTGCGCTTGGCGTAACATTCTTACGCGGACCGTACAGGCGGGAGGGTTACGCTGGTTTCGCAGAGGGTTTGAAGAATACTGTCCGTCGCCCACGGGCTCCGCCAAGGTAGTGGCGGTGGGGTTGAGGACGCAGTGGTGGGACAATGGCGGAACGAGACACTGGGCGACGGGGTGGGAGCGGCCCTTTGGACCTCTGTGGCGGCTCTGGCGGGACGAGGTTGTTCCCTGTCAGATTAGCAGGGGGATCTTGGCGAGGCGCTGGGGCAGAAGCAGAGTGAGAGCGGCCATGATGTTTGTTATCGTCTGAACGCCGGCAGGCCGGCATAGAATTCCCTAGATGAGCCAGAGACTCCTCGCTGAAAAACAGAATAATACACGAGGAGATTACGTGGCACAGACCATAAATCCTTTAGTGCTGTGTGTGTGCTATCGCCGAGTCAGTGTGTCCTGGCACAAGGAGCCGTGTGCCATGGACGGTGGGGTTACACCAGCCACCAGCCTCGGCCCACAGCGCGTTATCGCTATCAGCAGTGCTTTCTGGGCTGTCAGATTATCAAAAACTGGGTATACTGGCACACGGGAAAGCAAGTCCCCTTTACTTTCAGACCCTTGGATAAAAATAGCAGCCTAGAACAACACACAAATTACCATTTTAGTTTCACATGCTATATATATATATATATGTATGCGTGTATCACATGTGTGAGAAAGCAAAAAACAATCTGAGTGCTTAAAATAAAATACTGGAAGAAACCTGGGTCTTTTTAAGTGGGTGGCAGGGAGTCAAGTGACACTGCACGCTCTCACTGACACTGAGTACATTAGATACAATGCCTAGAGTGGGAAAGCCTGGCCCATGCAAAGGACTGGACATAGCATTAAATGACAATGGCTGGTCCATTCCGAGCTCTCTCTGATCAGCCAGCCTCCCAGCCATCAGCTCTCCAGACTTTTCTCACTCTGAAAAATAGTACTTTACCTCAGGAAAAAAATCAACTATCTGTTAAGAGACCACTTAAGGAATGCAAGCCCTCTCGGTCTGTCACAAGGAAAAGCCTGGCTAAAATGTCAGGCTCCTCTTCCATGAATTTCTGGTCATTGCTGCCTTTTTACTTGATGTTATCTTACATGCATTTGGTAATCTAAAAAAAAAAAAATTATTTTGCCAGTGAGGACAAGTTCTTTGACCAGATACCAAAATTAGATTCATTGTAATTACCAGATGACAAAGTAAGACTACCCCATTATATCCATGTGTGGGTATGTATGTATTGTTTAATTTACTTTAAAAGCAGCAATTCCATTAGCATTGGAGATATTGCAAAAGGAACTGTTATTTTGGCCCCCAATGCCCTGTTTCCCTCTTTATTCCCAGCTTTTTCTTTTCCTCCCTGTGACCTACATCTCTGGCTAGCTCAGAGCTATGCTGGCTGGCTCCCTCAGCAAGCTGAATCTTAAGTGCCTTTTCTTTGGTGTAAGTGCTGGTGCCAGCCTCTTTCTCCTATCTAGCCACTGGACTTGTTTGATTCCTTTCAATGGTAACAATATTTAATATTACTTAATAGTAATCTTTAATATTCTTACTTATACTAGAAGAATGACAAGTGAATTACATCAAGTTTGTTTCTTTAGAGAACTAGAAAAAGGTTTTAAGGTGTTGGATTGTGCCCAGATTATTTTTCTCATGAAAGATCAATGAGATTTTTGAGAGGAGAGTTTAATTCAAAGCACCCAAACATAGTCAGACATCTGTTCTAGTTCACAGTCTTTATTTTTAACTTTAATAAGAACAGGTTTAAAACATTCTGTCCAAAAAGTAGAAAAAGCTAAATAAAAACATAAACATTATCTAGTCAAGATAAAAATGTTTAAAAACGTTTTCTTAAAACTACTTCCTCCTCTACAGTACATGAAAATCCATCGAGTTCTTCAGCTGTTGTTCCTCCCACTGCCTTTTCCATCTATATATGTCAATTTTATAACTGAGTTTATTCCAGTTCTGTTGCATTTCACACTGTTAAATTACCACTTTGACACTCCCTTTGAAATAAGTTAAGAAAGAGTGTATTCACTCCCATGTGAGAGGACAGGTTTGATTTTCAAAACACAGGAAAAGGATTCTAAGAACAATTCACCATCTAATTGCTTAAATCTTTGTGTGCTAGAAGTTCAATTGAAAAACAAAAATCCTAAATTAACTGAATTGTAGTTCAGTAAAACTGAACTGTACAAAGTTCATCCCAGTGTTCTCCCAAAATATCTTAAATAGTTCCCAAAAGCTACAAATGCAGCCAGGTAGTTGTCGACCTTTCACAAACCTTCATCCCAACCACCGAGCTGTTTTTTAGCTGCACATTTGCATCATTTTTTTTTACCTATTCTTTGGCATCCCCAATCCCTCCGGCAGTTATTGCAAATGTGGCTTCATTTTCAGGCATCTCAGGGCTGGGAGAAAAAGAAACAAGAAACCTGTGGGCTTCTCCATGTAAAATGCAGTTGTGAAATAGTCTCCAAAAGGTTGTGGGTGTGAGCACCTGGAATACATCAGTGCTTTTATACCTACGTGCAAACTGTAGAACATGATCAATATCATCAGGATCAGAAAATGTGAAATTATCGTGCCAGGAAAACCTAGGAATTTAACATGTCCACAATTTTCCTGCCAAGGGACCCCCAGTCCTACCAAAGTATTTGATGGTCTTTATTAAGAGCTGAGCATCTAGTAGGATTTATGATGAAAGATTATGTTACTTAATATATGCATTGTGCAAGACAACTTTAATTGCTGTTTAATCTGTTAATTAGTTTGTCCTTCCAGATTTTCTCCCAAGTTTCAATACCTTGAACTTTGTCACCTTCCCTCCTGTGAGGAAAGGTGGTTTACCTGTCGTAGATCTTTGCAATACGCAGCTCCCCTCTCCCTTTCCTCAAACTGATCCTGGTAGTCGAAGCATGAGCAAGGATGTGGCCCCCGATGGGCTTTTTTGGATCTGCTTGAAAGCTGCATTAGCAAGAAAATTGTGGTGATTCACTGTGCAAATTCCAGAGGTTAATACTGTGATATCTGTCAGACTGAGCCCTATTCAACTCAGTAATAAATAATCAGTAGGGAAAAACATTGAAAACCTGACTTTAGCACACTTGTCTCAAGATAATATGTTCAAGTGTTCAATGCTGGCATCATTTTCCTGTCATTAAATTCAAGAGGCTCAAGAAACACACACCTTAAATATCACATATAAGCTTCTCCAAAGGAAAATGTGGTGTTTTTTTCAAAACTTTTTATAGCTCATTTTCTTTGTTTAAGTTACAGTGAAATAACACCACCATACCAGGCAGCAGTTAAACATAAAAAAGCTCACTCCAAAAACTGAGAGAAACTTCTAGGTGTCATTTACTTATGATTCCTAATACTCAGGGGAAAATGACCAATCTGATCTTTCATTTCAGTGCCTCTTGCTCCTTACAATCTTAGTTCCCATTTCTGTTAAATACGTAATACAAAATACAGGAAATTTTTTTAAAAGAGAGAAAAAAAGTATCTTACGTCATAGTTGCTCCTGGGTCAGCAGTCATCTGGTTGGTCACAAACACGGCCACATTATATTCTGCAAGAAAAAACATTGCAAATGAATGTTTGTTTCAAATCCAATTAGAATTCCAAAATATTCTCTTATCCATGGTAAAAAGTAAGGTTTCTGCTGAAGCACTTCAAATTTCAAATGAATGAGAAGAAAACATTCTTTATGACTGATGGCTGCAGTTAATCAGGACACAGCCTAGATTTGCTCCTGCATGGCTTCAGCTGTAATATGCCAAAAATGAGCACTTTTCCAAATTCCAGTGAACAAGTCTTTCTCAGTTCCCATCTATGTTGGCTCCCTGCCCTCAGCTCCCTCTCCTTCCCTTTCTCTGTTTGCCTTTTTTTTTACCTCATGAAAAAGGCATTTATTCATTCTTCATCAACATTTCTGAGACATTCCAAAGAGAAGGAACTCTATTCATCCTGGCAGCATCCCTCAAAGCATTGCAAAGTACTGAGAAAGTGGCAAGAGGCATGGCTTTCTTATTTCTCTACGCCTTCATCCTCTTTTCTCTAAATGTTGGAAAAACTCTAAATGTTGGAAAGTCCACAAGTTTTCTCAATCTGTCATCTTGAAATAATACATTATCAGTTTGATCTTTTTGGTAACTGACAGAGGTGTAAAGTGAGGAAAGATCCCTGGGCCAGTGCCTGATTGATAATACACTTGGACTACTAGGTGGTTGTGCTACCAACAGCTACTGGTAGTGACTCCAGCCCCATGTTTCCCAAATCTTGCAATGTTTCCTGTACCTTCTGATATTTTTTGGAGCCTTGACAACATCTGAGCTAGTTTCTGTTGTCGTTCAGCCAATTCTCCACGACCACTGAAATCCACACGGAAAAGTGCCATTATGGAGTCAATGATCTGCACGGTAATCATGCTAGATAAGTAAATATAGTGAAAGAAAACAGGAACACTTATTTTGAAAACAGTAAGCATACGGTTGTACCAATAACTTGAAGATACCAGCTTCTTCATGGAACTTGGCTGCTACATAGTCAAGCAATTCCATCTGATGTTCACCTAGTGGGAAGCAGAGTTGCCAAGAGAAATCAGGACCAGAAAGAACAAAAATGAACCAAGCCTGAACTTTAAAATTCCACTTTAAATGTCTGCACTGATTATATTTTCATCGCCAGCAGTTCTAAATCCTGTGCTCAGTAACAATCTACTTTGCAGGTTCCAGTTTCCTCTCACCCATCTCACAAAACTTCTTTGTGAAAAATCTTCACTCTGCATGAAGACAACTTTTTGTTGTGTTAGGAACTGAAAAGGAATATATACATTTTAATTTAACGTTGAATTAAATGACATATGGAAAATGTTTAAATCATATTATTTACGTTTATATTGCACTCTAAAAGAAGAAGTCCTATTTCAAAACGTCTTGAAGTTTTAAAGTGGTTTCTTGTGACACAGAGTGTGTTGAGCTGTTAATAAACTGAGAAGTGTTAATAAACTGAGAACTATTAAAATGGGTACTTGAGAGAAAAAAACCTAGATATCGTGCCAGTTGCAATAATGGTCTTACTGGTGTAGGCACGTGCATACAGCACATTGTCAAGTACTGCCTCGTGGTCAACATTGAAGCGATCAGCAATGTCACGCAGGCGGTCTGGTCGGCTGGCATTAGTCAGAGTTAAGGATTTCTCCTTGTGCAAACCATGCTCTGAAAATAATAAAACTCCACTCCAAAATAGGATTATGAGGGGGGGAAAAAAAAAGAAGACTATTTATTTTAGTCCTAGAGAAGACTGACTTTTTGTCTTCAGGCTGTCCCACGTACCCTAAAGATAGTTTAGGGCTCACGATGATAATGGTTTTTTGTTTAGGGTTTGAGGTGGGGGGGTTGACATATGGATATCTGTGCTCTAGAAATTTAGTTGGGAGCAAAACCTGTTTATACACAGTCTACTGCAAATGTGACGTGTTAAAAATAGTATTTAGTACTTAGATAAATTTATCTTGAATAGAAAAGCTGCTATAAACTGTAGGAGGCCTACTAGATTGAAAAAAAAAAACCAAAAACCCAAAAACCCCCAAAACAAACTAACAAGCAAACCCAAACCAGTTACAATAAAATCCAATTCCTAAGTAATTTTTCCAGGTTGGATTATATCAAATGACAGAAGAAAAACTCACTTCCTTGTGGGCCACTATACACTGTGCTCTCCAGGATTTCTGTACCAGTAATAATGTTTTACATGTATGAAGCTATCAGAAGCCTTCTGCTTCCTTACAACAAAATAAACTAACTTTCCAGTTCATCACATCTGTAGCTTTTAACAGTCAAAAGATACAAAGTGTTTTCAGTATCAATGAAGATAATTTTTCCACCTGTGTAGCCATTTGGTCCTGGGAGCTGAGCTGTCACTACAGAGAATCACAGATTAAAATGAAAAAGCAGGAAAAATGTTTTCTTACTCCAGCTATTATTATTATTTAAATAAAATACAACTGTTTATCCATATCACAAAGAACTGTCAGTTTTAATCAATGTGAAAATCAGGAGTATCTTGTCTTACTGCCATCTTGAGAATAAGCTCAAGCTTTTCTCAATTGCAGATCAGATGAGATTTAATTAATGGTGTCAAACCTGTTTTATTCAGTACCATCACTAAATCTGTATATTTTAAGAATATTATTAGTAAGCTCTTACACACAAAGCCTCCTCTTAATCCTTTGCCCAAATTAATTCTTTTGGCTTAGTAGTCACTCTTTCCAACTGTTACTCATATGATCAAAAATTCTTTTGATATGAATTTTTCCTGATATGCAGATAGTTGCTGATTAAGGGTTTAGTCTCTTTGGAGTGAATAGGCTAAAATACTCAATCCAGTTGTAATCATTCATGCAAAAGGGTATGACTCTGCTGACCATTACACTGTACTAACCAGAAGAGGCCTTATTTTTCCAAAACGTGCCACATTTCACTCTGCAATATACGGGTTCATATAAGAGAATTTGCCTACTCAGTGTCTGGTAATTCCAGCAGCATTAATAGTTATAGAAGTTATTGTTTACTACTCTTTACACATTGAGAGATATCTCTGGGAAATCAGAGTCCTGCTGTTTTTGGCACTGCCCAAATATGGTGACTGCCAAGGTCTGTTTATCCAGTCACTGACAGCCAGTAGTACCCTTTCAGTGCCCTTTCAAAATGTCAGATTCAGCAAAACGTCTTGAAACCAGGACAGTCAAAGAGCTGCTGAGAAAAAATTTTTGCCTCTGCCCTTTTCCGAGCAATGCCTCATCTACATGTGACCCATATTTGTGCTCTGCTTTTCCAGATGGTGTGTTTCACTGGTTTATCTAAGACAGCCTATTATCTTCACTCTCCTTATGGCAAAACTTTCATGGATGTGAGCAGTATTAAAGTACCATTATATTAAAGTAACCATTTATATGAGTTCTCTACTCAAACATAGTTTATGGAGGTAAGAGTCACCAGGTCTGTTTCACTGTATTTGTAGAAATAAAAGATTTTGACTTGTCTCTATGTGTTTAGTTCTGATACAATTACAAACAGTGGATTCACTGAGAAGAAACATCACTCTTTTAAGGTATTATGCCTACCACAAAGAGTGTGAGATAGCTGGGTTTTGCCTGTCCGGAACTCTGTTAAATAAAGAAAAGGCAAAAAAAGAGTCAGGGTTTCGTTTTCCAAGTTTGACAGATTCAGGAATTACTGCAGTTAGAAACTCTTACTTACAAAATTCACCTCAATCTCTACCTTTTAAAATCATTTAACCTCAATTTCTAAATTGTATTCTGTGCAGGAGAAATGTATTACATGAAAAGCAAAATCTGAAATGCTTTAATTTGATCATGCTTGACTGCTGAAGTAATTTATTCTCTTGTGTATAGAAGTTAAAACCACATGGCACCTGTGGAAAAGTGATAATGGAGGGGCAGGGAAGAAATGGCTGAGTCCATTAACCAAGCCCAGTTTCATCTCCAGTAAAAATGATCAAGGAGAAGCTTACAAGTTTATTTAATCTCATTCTACCAAATCACATTAGTCTCCAGTTTATCTTTTCTAAAGGAAAGAGTACTGTGTTTTATGAATTCTTGTTGCTGAAGTGTCAAGCACCAACTAATAAGGCATACTGCAATAGTAGCTTAATTGTAATTCCAAAATCTTACATAAAATGAAATGTACCTTTAAGTGTGCATAACTAAAATACATTTTGTGACAATTTTGTTACTGGGAAGGAACACACTGCATCAGGGAGAACTTTGGCATGTTAGTAATAGTCTTAAAAATGCTATGTTGTACTGAATTAGCATGCCCAGTAACGATTACTCAGCTCAAACTTAGTCTGCAAGCAAATGAAGAGGAAAAACGGGAAAACATTAAGATAAGTGGATTATTTCTTCCTGCACTAATGCAGATACTCATCTTTGTAGCTACAATGTGGTAAATTTGATACAAGTAATCCAAGTTGAATTAAAATCTAAATTAAGTTGCAATTCTTTGTTTAGTAATACCCATTTAACGTGGCTCTCTTACCTCCAAAGGCCTCAGTGATTGCCATGCTTTCAATCCCACCACCCAGAAGTTTGCTGCAAAGAAGGAGAGGATTATGATATAGTTAAATGCAAAAAATCACAAGAGGAAAGTAAGAAACTTTTTTACTACTTTAAGGAAAGTAATTTCTTTCCTAAAGCCCCTCACTTGATGCATTAATTGCAGGGCACTAAATGATCATTGATTCATAAAGAATTAACTCTGTCTTTACCTCCCTTTTTGTGTGAAAGGGAAAGAGCTATAGAAATTTTTACTAGAAAGAAAGGAGAGAAAATAAAATTGAAAATAATATTTAAAAATAGCATTCCATAAAAATATCTCAAGGGAGGACTTGAAGACTTGTAATTTTGACCTGAAAACTGCAGGTTATTTTGATAGGTAAAAAAATTATACTTTCAAGATTTCTGGCTGCCCATTATTTATTTACAGTGACTGTACAAAATCTAGTTTCCCCTCAGAAAAGGAGTTGGTTTTGGTGCTTATTGATGTAGGCTTCTTCAAGCCAGCAGTAAGTCCAAATGCAAGGGGATTTACGTGTCCTAGCTAAGTATGTATTCCCTTATATTTCTGTGTCTCATTAAAGACAATTAAGATGATTATTGGGAACATTTGGATGAAGGAAGGATATAAGAGATAAGCTTACTCAAATTCCTGGCTGCCAGTGGAAATATGAAATACCATCTTTCGTTTTTCACTGTACTCAAAGGCAGTGAGGAAGCCTGGTTCCTAGGGAAAAGCAAAGAGAATGCAACAGGTTTATTTTAACTTTAACCTGAAGTTAAAAGTGGAATATCCCACATGAATATCTTCTTTTCCCCCAGCCTCATTCCCATGGGTTATAAAAAGCACCTCAGCATTTGTCTGGTTGTTGTGGAGTATAAAGTATTATGCTTTAGAGTAACAGGCAGAATAATCTTCAAAATTATTTTGATGATGCAGTAGGAAATCTGCTAAGAGAAACATTGCACAGCATTTAGGAGACGCATAAGTTCAAACTCTCAGAAAAGTGACTGGCTTACAACAAGCTTGTTTGCAGCTTCTTTAATCTTGTCCACTTTGGCCTCTGAGAGCCCCTTCACATTGCACAGTGCCCGTTTTGTGGTCATCTGGATTCCTTTGATTGTGCAAATCCCAACTGCCTTCAGCTTTTTAATATCTGCTACATTCTGCAAAGAAATTTCCCTTCTGTGAGTACTCAGGACAGTTAACAACTAGAAGGTGAAGTAAACCTTTGAAAAATATTTTAAGCTTACATTCATATGCATGTGTTTTCACCAAAAAAGAAATGGATTTACAGTAAACTCGTCATTGTGTAGTTTGTGACACCAACAAAACAAAATTTTGAGTAACACTGGTGTGAGGGATCATGGTACAGAGAGCAGCTCCTGGTGGTTTTGAGAGAAAGATGTCTGGGTATTTACTTCTCCCCTTTCAGTGTCAGTTTTCCTAGATCAAAGATCATAGTAAAGAAACAGTACAGAATTATTTCAGATATTGTGGACCTAGGACACCCTGTAACACTCAGTCTGTCCTTGGTCCCTTAGCACAGATAATCTGTAAACCAGATAATCTGGTGGTAGATAGCTGGGAGCTCATTCACAAGGATCATTGGAAGCTGAGTCTAACTGCTGTGCTGTTTCTGCATGTCCAGTTTAAAACACATGCACCCTGCAGATCTGACTGGCATTTTGGGGCTTTTCATAAATTGGGAACAGCATAACGTCAGACAGCACCCTACTGACATATTTTACTTTCTCTCACCTCATTTTATGATTCTTACGTCACTGGAAATGTAAAAGCAAGAACAGATTACTCACAAGAAAACATGCTATGTGAAAGGTGTGGGGATAATTAATCAATTTACCATTTCTGGCCAAGATTTTTCTTTGAAAAAAACCTATGAACTGGACATATCATCTGTTTATCTAGAGTGTGTGGGTACATAGAGCATAAGAAGGGAGGGGAGTTCTGTGAGAAATTAGTCATGTTTATTTGGAATCTTACTTCTCATCCTGTGATATGTGTGTGACACTCAGCAGAGGCTGAGGGGTAACAGCACCTTAAATCCTACCAAACACTTTTGATCACCAAACCACAGTCTCAGTTATTCTAATCTGATTCTATTTCTGGGCACACTGGCAGATTCAGTAAATATTTTTCTCTCTATTCCTCAGAAAAAAAATTCTAAACCCACAAAAATTATTTCTTCAGGTAAATTAATTTAACAGATATGAATCATTATATGTTTGCACAAAGCTTTTAGCTGGCACAGCTCAGAACTAAAACTTCCTCTGAGGTGTGGGAATAACCAACTGGAAGAAAGAAAAAAATAATGGAAAGGAACAGAAAACCTTTGCAACCCCAGAAGAACAGCCTAAGTCATTAGTCTTGGATTTCAAAGTCTTTCACACATTTGTATCATTCGTGAATGCCATCCCTTGTTTCATACTAACAGCTCCCTTCCAGCTCAAGTCACCCTCTTTGATCAACTTGCTAGGTTTTTAAAGCAATAATTTGTTTATTTTTCCTATATTGCTCCATAGTTTGACCTCCCAACCACGTGAGCCTTCTTCAGAACTATCTTTAAAACTGCCAATGAACTGCCAATAAAAAAAAATGCCAACAGTTGCACTGCTGACATGGTCAGCCCAGGAACTACAGCGTTGACTAATGACGAGTCATTGTGACATGTCGTCCCCATCTTTATCTGTCTGTAGCCACTTTTATTAAATCTCACATTACTTAAGGCAAACTCAACTTTTTATTCTGCTTCTGTAACTCTGAATATAACAGGATTCCAATCCATGTGCCAGCCTCCCAGATAAACATATAATAATTGTAATTCAAATAAATGAGTGATGTTTATGTGTTGATGGTAACAACGACAGGAATTCACATTTGATGAAGAAAACTAACCACTTATTTCTCTAGCTACTAATATTTTCCTCACTCCTACTCTACCCCCTGCACCAGCATGCTGAAAATAGTATAGTAACAATTGTCACAGTGTAATTTCACAGGCACCAAAAATGCAGGAGTAATTACAGAGATTGGCAGGAACAGGAAATAATCTATCACACAGTTTTCAAATAAATTAGCAAGCAGTTGGTTTTTCAAGAGTGCTAGGTGCTAAATACTTTGAGTATCTTGACACTTTATTTAGGAATCTGATGTGAATGAGATTTTCTAAAAATCTGTCTTATCACCAAAGGCAAAATTTGTCTCCACTGACTGAGTTAGAACTTATTGCAAGGAGGAACTTCAGTTATTTGCATCAATGTGCTTACAATTTTGAAAACAACCTTACAGTAGCTTTTGAGGGATAATTCTGTGTGATTGCTAATACTTACAATTCCATGCTTCTGCAGCAGGTCAATATCCTGAAAAAAGGATTCCTAAACAAAATAGCAGAAAAAAAATAGATGTTTATTTTTCTGATTATTACATCTATCTCACTACCTGACTGTTTCAGATTTGTAAACACTTACTGATTTTTCATAAATAATACATAATTTGTTGGACAACTGAAATAAAGCCATAGTGAGCTAAGTGTAGTGTAGTGAGGCCTACACATATCCTATCATGTTCTCCATAAAGTGTATCTTCACAGGCAATTAATCCTCTGCTGTGCTAATAAAATTTGCGTTATCATCACCACAATCTGCAGCTTTTCTGCCATAGTTTCTCACTCTTTTCATGCTGATGATCATTTCTTGGAAGCAGAAAATTAACTGAGTGTCTCCATGTATTTAACACAGAAGTGTAAAATACGATGAAATAATGATAATCCCATTAAAAACTGTGCACAGCTTTTGAAAGGTTAATGAAGATTACTTGAAGAGCCAGGTTGTACAGGGATTAGGGGAATGAGATTTTCTTGGTAGTGGACTGGAACAAAATTTTAAGTGCATTGAACTCCCTGATGGTTTTTGGGGACTTCCTGTCCCTCCACGGGTTTCATAACACTATCAAAATACCTTCAAACGTTTGCTGCACACAGTTTTCAATCAATCACAAATTTACCTCATCATCTTGGTATCCTGGTTCTTCTTGGACTACTTGATCCTCCATGGCCTTCATCATGAAAGAGCACGCAATGAAGTATTGATCACTAGTGGAAATGCAAACAAAGTCATGGGGAGGCAATAAATGAGTAAATGTCTGTAAAAGGTCTTCTAAGAGTCCAAGGACTACAGAAATGTGTCAGTATGACATCACATATGGATTTAAATTTGGATTCTGCTTCCAACTCTTCATTATCTGACCTACCAGGCCAAAAGGAGAAAATCTGTGTTTTTACACTCAGATGAACCAGTTTGGCTAGAAAGGGCTTCACAGGTTTTAGGAAAAGAGATCTCATTCCCTTGTTAGAATCTTGGGTCAGAGATGAATCTTGGACGCGGGAACATTTAAAATGAATTATCAATAGTGGAATTTATTCTGGCAAGAATGCTAAAGGCAGTCTGTGTTTTTATAACAAAAGTCAGCATAGCTGCAGACAGAATGGGTAATAGAAAGGCAATGCAACAGCTCAGCATCTCCATCTTTATGTGACAGAAAACCCACAAAACAGTGCTGAGAAGGCTACATCTCCTTAGTGGTGTATCTTGAGAACAGATTATTAAAGCAGTATTTGTTTTGAAGTTCTTACTGAGGTTCAAAATGACCAATAAATGCTGAAGACGTAGGTAATGGCTGTAAGGAGTATGCTTGCATGGAGAGAAGAAAAGAAGGGTAATAAAATTCTGGAACTTTTATTATGCAAACCCATATACAGAGAGCTCATTTCATGTTTTTTCATGGTTAACTTGCCATGTCCGTACTCCACCACTGCTTCACTGCCCTCCCTATGTGACTTCCTATAAGCATGGTCTAGAATTGAAATAGGCACTTAGTGATAGCATGGTTAAATAAGCAAAGTGTTAAATGTTATGAATGCAAGAATAGTGAATACAAAGTATTAGAAATACTTTGAAATAGAAATTAGAAATATGATCTTATAACCAAACTACTCTATCATTTTTGTGGTTTTGTAAATGGGTTAAACTGCTTCTGTTTAAATTGTGAGCTTACCTTTGGTGTTCTAGTTATAGATGATCAAAAGTTTTGTAGACGACTACATGAAAATGTGTGCATGTATTTACTTGCTCATTTGCTAATAAAATCCACAAACTATAAGATGAGCTATGTCTAACAGAGGTTGGGACAGCTTAGGCTAAATATCTGCAAAAAAGCCTTTTTTTCAGCTTCTAAATGGATACTAATTTGCTTGCAAGAATCTTGTACATATAGAGGCTGGGAAAGAAACGAACAGAATATCAGAATTTCAAAATTATCTTATTCTGTTAGTGTTTATTGGAAATAGTCTTATAAAATCAGTTGTTTCTGGTAGTGTCATGATATATTTATTTCTATTTCAGAACCCTGACAATTATGGAGTGACAAATCACGCCTTCACATAATTACAGCAAAACATTAATTAAAAAATACTTTGGGAGATTTGAAAAATCCCCTAGCTTCAAATACCGAAGGAAGAAAAACAAGTAATGCAAGAGGCATTAAAACTATATTACAATCTCCTTCTTCATTAAAAACGTCCTCACAAAATGCACATAATCCTGCACTGCTGAGCAGGTTATGGGACTGTTCTCCTACTCCCCATCCTTAGGCAATTGGCATGGCATCTCACAGCAGAAAAACGAGGCAGACCTAGACCTGTGCCTTCCTACAGGCTATAAGGGAAAATGGAGAAATTTTACCTCACCCTATTAAAAGCTTTAGGTACGAAAAAAATCCTCCTGCTCAGTGGAGCGTTGAGCTGCTGCGGGTGGGTTGGCACACCTGAAGGACTCCAGTCACCAGTGCCTGCAGTGAAGCAGATAAAAGGGTGAAAGTCTGAGACAACAGAGCAAGTCCATGAAAAACCACCACCAACCTTTGCCACCTCAAGCACCCAAGGGCAGGTGAGCAAGCCCTGGATACCGCGGTGTCCTTCCAGCCCGCGGGTGTGACAAGGACCCGCTCCCTGCAATTCCGCCTGGGCTTGGGCTGGAGAAAATGGCAGCAGAGCTCCGCGCCCTGGGCCGGGGCAGGGCGCGATCCGACCTGCCCCAAGGGGCTCCATGGCGGAACCTCCCATCTGTTAACTCAGAAGAAAATAACTGATCAATCGCCATCAACACACGGATTTATTTGGCTTGTCTTTGCCAGCTGCCTCCTCATGAGATGCTCATTTCTGTCCCCAAACGGCGAGGAACCACTGAACCTCCCTCCCCCTGCGGAGCACCGTAATTCCCCATCATAATTAGCATAGTAATTAACCCGCAGCTCATGCCCGGGCAGCTCCCGGGGAGAGATCGGGTGCAGTACCCGGGGCGAAAGCTCCGAGCTCGCCGGGCCGCCCGCCTTGCTCCTCCTGAGGGCACGGCCCCGCCGCCTTCCCGCGGGGGCGCGGGGCGGGGCCGTGAGGGCGCCATGAGGGCTCCCGGCGGAGCGGGCCTGGCGCCTTCCCTCAGCCGCCCCGAGAGGCGCCTCAATCCCCGTCTTCAATCACTCCAACGCCCGTGGTTTATCAACTGCTGTACTCGCCGTCTCCCAGGAATATCGCACGGCCCTTGCTCTACAGCTGGAAAAGGCAGCCTTAGTTAAAGCCGAGTTGGTTTGGAAGGCATTCAGTTCAACGCGGTTCTGCCTTTTGTTTTTCCAGGGTGCCACTCACGCATCTTCCTCAACAAGGCACACACGGCGTTTCTGGATTGGATGGCCAAAACCTGTCAGAGAGCTGGAAGACAAGTGACTTGCCTGGAGTCACAGGACAAGAAAATGAGGCTGAGTCATATACATGATTTAATCTGCCATTTTAAAAGGATGGAAAAGGTGCTTTTTAGGATATGAACACTTCTACGAGACATCTGCAGTCTTCTTGGAGACAGCATTCAGAAAGCAATCGCCCGTTTTAGCTCGCCTCTGGTAACACAGTTGGTATGGAACTGTGTGTCAAGGAGACATCACATCTGCGAGCAGGAGGAGTTCCTGGCTGCCCCTTGTGTGGGCTTGGAATGGCAGAAGGGATTGGAACAGCATCTCAGCCTGTTTCAAGGGGCTTGTGAAAGCTTCCCCACCCTCTGCCCGTGGGAGGTTAAGGGCACCTTTTCCAAGCCATTTCTTAGCCAAGTCAGGAAACCAAGCAACAAAACCCACGGCCCTGTGCCATCGTCAGGACGCCACAGGACTGCTCGCAGGGTCCCCATTCGAAACATCAAGCAATTTCTATAAGTACCAAACATCCAATCCTGGGAGCCCAAGGCTTTGTCCATACAGAGGAAGTGGCTGGCATAGCTTTTGAAAACTGCATTATTCTGCAAGAGCTATTCCAGAAGAGCACTTAGGCAGACAACCCTTCAAAGGCGAATTCCTTCACAAAGTATGCTTTTATTCCAGGACAGAATGCATATGCAGACTGTGACCCTTCTGGTGCTGCTGAGCAGCTCTGCAGCAGATAATACCTCACTCTGTAAACAACCTTCCCTTCATTATCCTTTTAGTTTGTAAAATGGTTCTCAGAAAGGTCAAATGAATGCACAGAGTCTTAAGACCATTTACGCTCCAAAGAGCTACTTTGAGCAATAAATTACATTCTACAACTTCAAAACGTTGTGTGATCATTAATTGCTCATTCGGCTTCCAGCTGGTGTTGTACAATAACCCCACAGAGTTAACAATGTCCCGTTAGACATTGGCCCAAGTGAGCAGAGGCATCCCTCAGTCTCCTTCCATTTACAGGTTCTGCTGCTGACCAGCGCATCTCCATCCCAGAGGGATGCACTGGAATGAGACACACCACTGTGATACACATTCCCTCTCACTTGAGATCTTGTACCTGTTTTTGGACAAGGACCAAGTCAAACTATTACCATAAAATATTAAGTATCCAGGTGATTTTTTTTTTCATCCTCACAAACTTCATCCATGGCTGCAGGAGGGAAATCATGAGGGGTTTTGTTGTTGGGGTTTTGTTTTCTATCTCTGATCAGAGCTAAGATGAACTGCAAAAGCTCTGTGCATACAATGGGTCTCAGGGTAGGACTGGCAAAATATCAGAACAGCCAAGCTTTGTAATTCAGACTGAAGTAACAGGAGAGCTCTATTGTTAAAATAGAATTACTCGAAGGAATAAATATGGTACTGGGAGACTGCGTTATGTTTGCATCACAGTCTTGAGATCCTTAGGCTAAGCCTAGACAAAAGTACTCAATACTACAGTATTGGGAGGAATCCTGTATAAAAAAGACACGGATTTTGCTACCTCTAATTTATTTTGAGTTAATCACTAAGGATATATTATAGGATTAGATATCTCCCTGTGTGTCTATCAAGATGTCCTGTCCAGACCATGGTTCAGCATTGCAGCTATGGAGAAAGTGATGCATTAGAGGGTTGTGCCCACTGATATTAAAGAGATGTCAGGTCAAGTCAGGAACACAACAGATTGTATGTGACTGGAAAAGAAGAAAACAGTAATATCAAAATACCAACTAGAGAATTCAGGGATGGGTATTTTTCTAAATGAGAAATAAATAATTTGTGTGTCAACTATACAAACACAGTAAGTGATAGCAGTCCAAGCACCACAAGATTCACTATTTTTATAGGTGACTGTGACATTAGAAATTCTTTATATGTATAATTAAGAATGACATGATAAAATAAAATAAAAAAAAACCTGGAAAAAACAAGGCCACTTTCAAACTTTCCAAAACCTAAACCAAGTTAGAGGATTTATGGAGACACGCATCAGTATAACATAATGTGATCTATCAAAAAGACAAAGGAAATAAGAAAAACTGTCCATTTTGAGAATGCACAAGGATTTTTTTTATTTAATATAAAAAAATCAAACTAGTAATAGAGAACAATAGGACCGAAAGAGTCATCGAGAGATTATCTCAAAGCAGAGTCACATGTTCATTTGGCTGGGGAGGCTGTGGACTTTCTTTTATCTTTTGAGAAAAAGCTAGACAATTTCAGTGCTTGCCTATCCTTGCCATCACCCTTGTTGTCTACCTGTCACTATGCCATGCAATTTTATCTGTGAAAAATATTCAATATTTGAGCTAACTTCTACTTTTAAAAGTTCGGGTAACTGAGACTCTAATTCTTGCATGCTTTTTTCCACCCGAAAAGAGAAGAAAAATGCCAGCATGAGCAGTTCTAAAAAAATGCTCAAACATGATGGATTATGTGATAGTGTGTGAAGTTTTCTCTTACCTGCTCATGACCTTTGGGGCTGAAACATGCAGCCCTGGAATAGGGTATTGTCACTCTCAGTAATTTGCCATAAGCTTTGTACTGAATGTGCAAGGCCTGAGGACTGAGATTTGTCAAGTTTGTTTTGTTTGAACTTCTCTCAATCCTTCTGTATCTTTTCCTTGGTTAGCTGTGACAGCAGTTTCTATAATTAACCAGGTCTATGGCTAATCTGTTTTACTTCTGTTTATCTGTGTGTGGTACAACCATCATTTTATATAAATAAAGTAGCAAACACTTTTTCTATGTAGAAAAAGAGACTTATGACTAGCACAACGATGCAGTGCAGGGAAATGCAGACATGGAGCAATAGCAGAAACCTCGAGAAGTGAGGGCACAAGATTTGCTGAGGAATACAGGGATATAAAGGTAACAGACAAGTCATGGGCTTGGCACAGCTGGCCTGTTTGCTGTGAACAACTCACCAGTGACCTGTCAAAGAAAAGCTGACCTGGAACTGGATTTAGGGGTAACAAAGGGGAAAAAAAAAAAGTAACATTCATAATAGGCAATACATACATAAAATCTGATGTAGTGTGGTGCTGCCGGGTGTAGGTGCAGCAATGTGGGGCCCTGCCAGGATCACCTTGCCATGCCTTTTCCAGCCCCAGTGTTCCTGGAGCTGTAGGCTCTTTGACTCTCTCAACCCTAAACCTAACCCTAACCACCACCCCTAACCACTACCCTAGCCCTTTGAGCACATTTCTAACCTATGCTAATAGATATTATTAAAAATATATATTTTTAAAGCAGCTTTTTAATTTTTAACATTTCTTTCTGCTTGAGCAACTGGTGCTGCAACCTTTACAGTTTATCAGTCTCTACACAAAAAAAAGAATCTCTATTTTAATCACTATTGAAAAAAACGAAATGCAGTTGGTAAAATATATTACTCTGAATCATGAAATGTATACTTTGGGAAGTGCATGTCTTTTTTTAAACTGTGAGAGCTTTCTAAACAGCTGTTGCAAATTCCAAAATAACTGCTCTTGACTAACTCCACAGACATAGATTTTTGTTGTGGAATAAGTGCACCTTGTTCTACTTCAGCTTAATATTAACTTTATGATAAACAGAAGTAACAGACTAATTATGAAATAAGACTGCCCACATATGTAGCTAAGTGGGAGTAGTAATTGCAATTACATGTATCTTTGTTCATTTGCATTACCTCAAAGATCAGATAAAAGTAGGATGAAGAAAGCAATAATAAAATTTATTTGATATATAACTGTTACCAGTTTTCAGATTTGGTGACAATGCTCTGACAAGCTTGCGTTTGAATTAAAGCTTAGTCACAGCCCTGGTTAAAGTCCATGGGTGAATATTTTCATTTCACTAAGTAAACCAGAAGAATTGACTAAACAATTCTCTGCTCACAGATTAAATGGGAAGCCATTCCCCAAGGGAATGAAGTGCATCACATGGCCAGTCCCGGGCACCAGTGGCCTGATCAGAGTACAGAGCATG